TATATTAAAATTTGTAAGATGGAGTTGTTGTTTGGAGCGTGCTGGCACCGTAACGAAATTCCTGCGACGAAGTATTCTGAATTAGACTTTCACGTCTTCTAAAGGTTGTCGCACGACTTTAAGGAGAACTCCAAACTCTTCTGGAGAGAGGTTGGAAGGACCCGAAGTGGTGCGACGGCCTTAAGAATGAACAAAGTGCTTTTGAGAACTAATGACGTCCTTTCAGAAAAATCGGACGTCATGCAGCGATGGAGCGAATTTTATAGAGAAATGTATGCGTGTGATGATCTTAGTGAGGGATCCGGGGAGACGCCGTGACTGGTACGCCAGACCCGGACCTCGATGACACTGAAGTCATCAGTATGAAAGAGATTGAACGTGCGATTCGAAGTTTGAAATGTGGTAAGGCTGCGGGACTAGACAGAGTTACTGCTGAAATGGTCAAGTATGGTGGGCCTCGCGTCTGGGACAGCTTTCATCTGCTGTGCAATTTGTGCTGGCGGACGGGGGATGTCCCGGATGATTGGCGATCCGCAGTCATTGTGCCTTTATATAAAGGTAAAGGTTCACATTTTGACTGCGGGTGCAATCGGGCGATCAGCTTGACCAGTTTAGCAAGTAAAGTTTACTCAAAGGTTTTGACACGTAGGATGCAAGAGAAATCGGAAAGATTTCTATGGGAGGCACAATGCGGATTTAGACCTGGAAGAGGATGCACGGATCAAATGTTTTCTCTCCGCATGATCACGGAAAAGCTTCTGGCTGCTAACCAGAAGATTTTCTGTGCTTTTGTGGATCTTGAGAAAGCATTTCATAAGGTTGTAAGGAAGAAAATGTGGGAACTGTTGCCGGGGTATGGTGTGGATGGTCGATTGCTAAGGGCTGTGCAGTCTCTTTACTGTGACTGTAAAGCCTGTGCGCGGGTAGGGCATGACCTGTCACCCATGTTTAGCGTCCAAACGGGCGTAGAACAGGGTTGTGTCATGTCTTCCTGGCTGTTCATACTGTATCTCGACAGCTGTTTACAAAAGCTGAAAGATAACTGTTTGGGTGTGAAATTGGGTGACATTAAAGTAAATTGTCTGCTGTATGCTGATGATGCAGTGCTTATTGCACCATCAGAGGCAGAACTGCAGGCATTAGTCACGTGTATGAAAGAGGAATGTGAAATTAAAGGTCTCCGTTTGAACGCTAATAAAACTAAGGTTCTGGTATTTGAAAGGGACGAAGAGAGAACGAAGTGTGAAATATGGGTAAATCAGGAATGTCTAGAACAAGTAAATGAAATTGTATACTTGGAGAGTGCTTTTAGCCGGGATGGAAGATGTGATTTAGATGTGGACAGGCGTGTCGCTGCCGGGAACAAAGTCAATGGTGCCCTGACTGCGTTAGTCAAAAGGCAAGGCGTGGTGAAGAGTGCACGCCTTGCAATACATAACGCAGTGTTGGTACCGACTTTGTTATATGGCAGCGAAACCTGGGTATGCCAGAAGAAGCATAAAAGCAAGTTGAATGCAGTGGAGATGCGATCTCTTCGTAAAATGTGCGGCGTTATCTCTCATGCCTTCGCCTCTCACATGGTCTTCGAAAGTTAGTCTCGGTCTACCTCGACGCCTTTTAATATTAACTTTCGCGCTATATATTTTCTTCACCATTCGGTCTTCACTCATTCGCTCAACGTGCCCAAACCACCGAAGCACACCCTTATCAATTTTCGAGATAAGGTCATCTTTCAAACCTGTCATATTGCGAATCTCTTCGTTTCGCTTTCGGTCGGCCATGGTAACGCCGCACATTTTACGAAGAGATCGCATCTCCACTGCATTCAACTTGCTTTTATGCTTCTTCTGGCATACCCAGGTTTCGCTGCCATATAACAAAGTCGGTACCAACACTGCGTTATGTATTGCAAGGCGTGCACTCTTCACCACGCCTTGCCTTTTGACTAACGCAGTCAGGGCACCATTGACTTTGTTCCCGGCAGCGACACGCCTGTCCACATCTAAATCACATCTTCCATCCCGGCTAAAAGCACTCTCCAAGTATACAATTTCATTTACTTGTTCTAGACATTCCTGATTTACCCATATTTCACACTTCGTTCTCTCTTCGTCCCTTTCAAATACCAGAACCTTAGTTTTATTAGCGTTCAAACGGAGACCTTTAATTTCACATTCCTCTTTCATACACGTGACTAATGCCTGCAGTTCTGCCTCTGATGGTGCAATAAGCACTGCATCATCAGCATACAGCAGACAATTTACTTTAATGTCACCCAATTTCACACCCAAACAGCTATCTTTCAGCTTTTGTAAACAGCTGTCGAGATACAGTATGAACAGCCAGGAAGACATGACACAACCCTGTTCTACGCCCGTTTGGACGCTAAACATGGGTGACAGGTCATGCCCTACCCGCGCACAGGCTTTACAGTCACAGTAAAGAGACTGCACAGCCCTTAGCAATCGACCATCCACACCATACCCCGGCAACAGTTCCCACATTTTCTTCCTTACAACCTTATGAAATGCTTTCTCAAGATCCACAAAAGCACAGAAAATCTTCTGGTTAGCAGCCAGAAGCTTTTCCGTGATCATGCGGAGAGAAAACATTTGATCCGTGCATCCTCTTCCAGGTCTAAATCCGCATTGTGCCTCCCATAGAAATCTTTCCGATTTCTCTTGCATCCTACGTGTCAAAAACCTTCAAGTAAACTTTACTTGCTAAACTGGTCAAGCTGATCGCCCGATTGCACCCGCAGTCAAAATGTGAACCTTTACCTTTATATAAAGGCACAATGACTGCGGATCGCCAATCATCCGGGACATCCCCCGTCCGCCAGCACAAATTGCACAGCAGATGAAAGCTGTCCCAGACGCGAGGCCCACCATACTTGACCATTTCAGCAGTAACTCTGTCTAGTCCCGCAGCCTTACCACATTTCAAACTTCGAATCGCACGTTCAATCTCTTTCATACTGATGACTTCAGTGTCATCGAGGTCCGGGTCTGGCGTACCAGTCACGGCGTCTCCCCGGATCCCTCACTAAGATCATCACACGCATACATTTCTCTATAAAATTCGCTCCATCGCTGCATGACGTCCGATTTTTCTGAAAGGACGTCATTAGTTCTCAAAAGCACTTTGTTCATTCTTAAGGCCGTCGCACCACTTCGGGTCCTTCCAACCTCTCTCCAGAAGAGTTTGGAGTTCTCCTTAAAGTCGTGCGACAACCTTTAGAAGACGTGAAAGTCTAATTCAGAATACTTCGTCGCAGGAATTTCGTTACGGTGCCAGCACGCTCCAAACAACAACTCCATCTTACAAATTTTAATATACACATTCTTTTCTTCAAATAATATTGGTAGTGCGAGAATTTCTTGAACTTCAAACTTTTCGACTCAATAACGTTCAAGTCAAGCTACAGTTAGTTCAGTTACGATTCGTTGGCACAGTGTGAAGCGTTCGTCTGCGGTTCTACGTATCCTGCACGAAATAAATATTTGTGACTTATAAAGAAATGTTCCGGATCTGGATATTTTGTCTTTGTACAATGTACGTACATGAAACCCATCCACTATACAGTGGAAAATATTACTAGCAGCAAAAAAGTTTGAAAAAGTATCAAGAAATAATTCTTTGTAGTTCTTTCGAAACTTGTAGTGTAGTTGAATTCTCGCCTCCGTATTTTTGCTTAGTGACTATAAAAGAACGCTCCAACATTATAAAAGGTCTTTGAAACAAGAAACTTGGAATATTCCGTCTCTAACGTATAAACGTCGGTGAGAATTACGGATTCAACTTGGCAGAGTTCGCGTTAGCTGTGTGTGCAGCTCGTTTTGTACTGAGCATAATGACGTTTTTATATTCGTTCATGGTTTTTTAAACCTGCTATGTTATGATTTGACTTATTATTAACTTCATATCATAGTACTTCAGATAATATCAATAAACTGAATGACTTTGCTGATCTAATCTAATCGATCACACCTATTTCACACTAGGTGCAGCAGAAACTACGAGTAAATTAAAAGCATACATACGTCCCAATGGTGAACACAGGCCTCCTATTAATCCTCGAGTAGAATGCTGGCAGTATAAAGTTCGCCGCTCATCCCCCATGCGGGTTAGCAGAAATCACCATGACCGGGAAGTATTATTACAGGAGTTTATTAAAGGTAGTGCTACGAAGATTTAATTAATTAGTTAGATATAGTTAATTGGAGTAGGTGTGGTTGTTGTGGTCTTCACACACATTTTTTTGTAAATGTTGTGAGCTCTGCCCGAGCAGGCAATACTTCAATAAGGATTTGTCTGTAAACCTCATACAAACGCACGCACGGCACAGCAAACTAATTAGTTATATTTATATAATTATATCTTTAGCAATTTTCGAGAGGAAAACTAATTAATTAGGTAGAGGGCTTGGTGGTGCTGTGTTTAATGGCTTTGACTGCGGCGATATGTGACCGTGAGTGTTTGTTTTCTATTTATTTTTTATAGTATAAGTGCGACAAACTAGCACACAGTCCACCTGACGGTAAGTGGTTGCTGTGGCCTATAGACATCTACATCTATCCTCGTTTGCGAATCAAAACGCAGATGCATTGTCAGCCATGAGGACGAAGATGGAATGCCTCGTTTCCAGTAAAAAAAGGTCTCGGTTTCTCTACACTCACCATACGAAGCACAGAAGCACTAAGCTGGTAAGCTGGTATTCTGCGAGAGCGTGGTTCTTCCCCAGTCGAACCGACCTATTCGTGCTACAACTATACTATTAACCCACTTGTTACTCCCGTCCTATATAACGCCACTAATTGAATGATAAATGTACCCGCCAAATTTATATGTTCAATGTTGTATAAACAAAGATCGTCTTACATTACCGTCATCAGAAACGGTCCGTCTTTAATGTGCACCTACTATTTGTTACAGTGCGTCCATTATTTTGAAGTTAAGACGTGTTTTAAAATAAATAAACAGTGTGATTGCTTTGCGACATGGCTTCAATAAGGTAAGTTTTTTAAATATACTTATAAAGTTTTAAACACTACAACGTAGAATCCCATAAAGAACCGTTATTTTAATATAAATGTAACAAAATAAACTTGAATTTCACGGTTTTTCATGAAAATTATCTTATGTAAAAACTTGTGGCGTTATAACGCCCGGTAGTAAAATTGACGTCTATATATTATTACTATTATGTTTTAGATCACTGACGAAACGACCTTTGAATCTCAACGACATAGTTGATGCATTACACAATATAGATTCTGATGACGATCTGCCCAGTGAAATTACCATTTTTCCACCGCAAGATCCAAATAACGAAATAACAGACGAAGATTCTGGTGATGAAGAATTTGTGACATTACATAATCTCCCAGGTTTGGTTATTCCTTTTGAGCACATTACGAAATCCATTTCAGTCACTGAACTCACAGTCAATTGTATAATGTATTTATTACTTTTCAGGTTCCCAGCTAAGAGCTCCAGCAGAGATTACTTATGATGATACGTTTTCAAACAGTGACGATTCTGAAAATGATTTATCTTTGTCTGTGTTAGCAAAAAGAATAAGCAATACCAATGAATGCTTGCCAGAAGATTTGTATATCTTCTACTTCTTGGAACAGATATCTTCTACTTCTTGCTCCACTCCATCTATAAGCTGTTCATCGAGGAACATCACTCTTAGTGTAAGCAAAACCCAACAGTATACGTGGCGCAACAGGCACAATCCAAGTGAATTTACACAGTGGCGGGATCGTGAGGGCCCAAAAAATCTACAGTCATCTTTGTACTACTATGAGTGAATAATGAAGTAATCGAAATTGTGTTACATTACTCTAATCTTTACGCAAGCCTAAGGAATGTCATCGCTAATATAACTACTTCAGAAATGAAGTGTTTTTGGGTATACTAGTATATATATAATAGTATTGGGTATACTTATAGAGCGGTTATGTCGTGGTAACGTGGTAACGCAGGTATATGTATTGGGAGAAATCTTCTGATACTCACTTTGATGTTGTTTATAATGCCATGTATAGGGATCGTTTCACAATGATAATGAATCACTTACATTGCTGTGACAACAATGTCATTCGTACCGATAGTGATAAATTTGCGAAACTTAGGCCTTTGTTTGATTTACTAAATAAAATTTTCTCAGACATGGCACCTTTTGAATAAAACTATAGTATTGACGAAGCTATGGTACCATACTATGGAGGCCATAGTTGCAAACAATTTATACGCGGGAAACCAACCCGATGAGGATATAAACTTTGGGTAGGTGCAACTAGGTTGGGGTATGTTTTTTGGTTTGACCCATACCAGGGACATTCTTCAAATATCCCAGCATGCTATAAACAATTTGGATTAGGGGCAAGTGTAATTTTGTGCTACTCAAACACTCAATTTCATTTATTTTTTGATAACTTTTTTTCTTCTATCCCTCTTTTTCACTTTGAATTGAGTAATAGAGGATTGAAAGCTACAGGAACTATTCGTGAGAATCGTACCTCTAGATGCCCACTACCTGAAAACAAGGTTTTCAAAATATTAGAAAAGGGCACTTTCGTCTATAAGTCTAGTCAACCCAAGCAGATCTTAGTCTGCAAATGGAATGACAATAGTGTCATGTGCCTCTAATGCGGAAACAATTTAGTAGCTTCACAAAGTCAAGCGATTTTCTCAACAATTGAAAAGATATGTGTTTATTGATCAACCTGCTACACTTACACTACACTTACTACTACACTTTTGTTTACCGGAGCTACATTGATAGAGTATACGAGGCGACATTGATAGTTATCAATTTCACCCCAATGGTGGTTGTTCCCAATCTTATAGGAGTGATTCATACGTTATCAATTAAACCTCTATTTATTGTTTTGTTTTAGCTGCCTCATGGTTCGCACGTATAAAAAGACAGCGGGTACCCACGATTACAAAAATTATACAGAATTTTAGTAAAGGAAAAACGCCTAGTGGCCAACCTGTTTTCACCCATCAAGAGGAATTAGCAATTTTACGAGCTGCGGCTACATGTGGTAATTGGGGGTTTCCTCTTAAATTATTTGACCTTCGAATTTTCGCTAAGGCTAAGCCTAAATATAATTATAAGATTGTTGTAATAGTTATAAGTGATAAAATTTATAAATCTCGAAAGTGAATGTTTAGACTGATTAATGTTATGTTGATTTTACTTAATTTTCTTAAATAATAACAAAAATATTTCGCTTATCTCGGTTGTTAACACTGTAATATAATCATTACAGCCCTTCACAAGTCCACTGCTGAACATAGGCCTCCCCCAAAGAATGCCACAAAGCACGGTCCTGAGCCACCTGCATCCATCGACTTCCTGCATATCTTACCAGTTCGTCACTCCATCTAGTGGGGGGATGCTCTACACTTCGTCTGCCGGTACGAGGCTGCCACTCGAGAACCTTTCTTCCCCATCGGTTGTCGGTTTTTCGAGCTATATGGCCGGCTTATTGCCACTTCAGCTTACTAATCCTTTGGGCTATGTCGGTCACTCTGGTTCTACTGCGGATATCCTCATTTCTGAGTTTGTCACGCAGAGAAACTCCGAGCATAGCCCTCTCCATAGCTCGCTGAGCGACCTTGAGCTTCCTCATCCGGCCAGCAGTGAAGGACCACGTCTCAGTTCCGTATGTCATCACTGGCAACACGCACTGGGTGTACAGTCTCGTTTTCAAGTTTTGAGGTATAACTGACGAGAAGATGTATCTTAATTTAATTTAGTCTTATTATATTAATTTGGTATTTAGTTTAGCATGAATATAACATAACTTTAAATACCAATCTTTATTGTTAATCACAGATACATTTTGTGCAAGCTGTGTCTACATATATATTAGAATACAATTTTTGAAACCTTTGTTTTATATAATACCTGTCAGCATGTTGAAGTTGTGTTCTGTTTTGTAGACCAAATAAAGAGAAAAAAAAAGTTGAGATATGGAAATGAAATATTCGTCTATGTTATAGGAGAATGAAAACGGCCTCTTTACAATAGTAAAACAGCTGCTCAACTATCAACATAAAATCTACATTCAATGCACATCGTTTCAATTCAATGGTAAAGTAATGAAACAGAACCAGAAAAGATCGTAATGTGTAAACGATAGTGTTTCAAGTGTTTTTAAATAAAGTATCCCTGTCAAACTCATTTTCTAAGTTTATACATTACTTATTAAGCTTTACTTTGTTATTGTGACGAAAATATAGAGAAACAACAATACGTTTCGAGTTCTGATAGGGCTGCTGTGCTATTGCAGTGCATCATAAATTATTACGGAGTCTAGAATATATGGCTTCGATTTACTAAAACGAAAGATAATAGTATTCTATATGCAGCGGTGCGAGGCAGCTCCATTTCTTATTTTCAACAGATTGCTAGCCCCTAATGTGCACCAACATTGTTTTATCTTGGAGCTTTGTACCAGCAACCTAATTCATATTCATTAACATCATTACAGCCCATCACGTGTACACTGCTGCACATCTATAGGCCTTCCGCAAGTAATACTACAAAGCATAATCCTAAGCCATCTGCATCTATCGAATTCCTTCGCTCTTACCAGATCGTCACTCTTACTAGTGGGGGACACCTACTCTGCTGACCGGTACGAGACAGTCAAGCGTGAACCTTTATTTCCTACCAGCAATCACACTTTTGTAAATTTATATTTGATGTATTTCTAAATCCATTATATTTCAGGAAACAAAATGAATTTAGAAATAAATTTAGGATCAAGGTCGTTGTAGATGGTGCATGCTCCGATTACAAGCCTATTAACGCTGGTGTTCTACAAGGCTGCGTGCTATCACCAACGCTATTTCTTCTGCATATCAATAATATGTTGCAAACTGGTAGCATTCATTGCTATGCGGATGACAACACTGGTGATGCTCTATACACCGGCCGGAACGAACTTGTGTCTCAAGTAGAGTCTTTGCTGAACAAAGTCTCAGATTGGGGGTGACTAAATCTAGTCCAGTTTAATCCTCACAAGACACAATATGGAGCTTTGAAATCTGAAATAAAATACTATTACAGTAGAAACGATGGTTTTTGCATGTAGAAAGAATGAATGAGGAAAGATTGACAAAGCAAATTCATGTTCCAGAGGTGAATATGGCAGAGTCAGGAAGGGACGCTTTAGGCGAAATTTTATCGAACAAATTGGCGATATATTGAAAATGGGCCAAATCAAGAGTACCTTTAACCAACGCGTATATATGCGTAGGTATATGGATGTGGAGGAAGCGAGAGAGGTGTGTCAGGGTTTTCTACACAAAATTGTGTTATTCACACTGCCTTAAGATAAGATAAGATAAGATATTTATTTGTAGAAACATGAGTATACATACAAAGCATGCAGGTTGTTCAGATATATTAAAAGGTTCAGTCATGTTTGGCCTTTGTGGCGTACAAATGTATAAATCAATGAAAATGTTACAAATAGTATACAATAATTGAAAATGAAATATTATTAAAGCATTATCTAATTAAACCATTATTAAACTATTTTTAACAATTTTATCAATAAATCTAAATCTAAAGAATAAATTAAATGTCTGTTAATATTATTTACTATGAAGATACATTATATTTTATTTGCTTTATACAGTGCCAATAATAGAATTGCTTGTTACATAAGATTTATATTTTATTATTCAAAAATTCTAATATGCTATAGTATGCTTTGCCTTCTAAATATAATTTCAACTTATGTTTAAATATACGGGCATTCTGTTCCTTCCAACATTTCGGAAGCTTATTATATATTAAAGGGGCCATGCAAAAAACACTTTTTCGCATCAATGCAGTTTTTGAGCTGTGCAAACATAGAATAGTATAATCGCGTCTGTTGCGACTAACTACATCTGATAAACGTGGAAATAAGTGCCGATTATGTTTAACAAACATGGCAATTTCTAAAATGTATAGACATGGTAATGTCAGTATTTTATATTTTATAAAATAGGGTTTGCAACTATCAGTTGGCTTTAGTTTAAACATGGTCCTAATACATCGCTTTTGTGCTTTGAAAGGTAATTCTTTGTTAGTCGAATTGCCCCAGAAGATAATCCCGTATCTTAGGTGCGATGAAACTAAGCCATGGTACGCTGTAAGCAACGCATTAATGTTAAGCACTTTAACCAATTTGTAAAGTGCATATGTCGAGTTACTTATTTTTTTGCTAAGAATTTCTGTATGTTCTTTCCAATTCAATTTCTTGTCAATCGTCACCCCGAGGAATTTGGCAGTGTTGACTTCTTCAATTATTTTATTATTATATTGGACCTTAAGATTAGTGGGAGTTGATGAACGTTGACTAAAATGCATTACACAAGTTTTATTCAGATTAATTTTTAAGTTATTATTATTTAACCATTTTATTATTGATATAAGAGAATTATTAATGTCATTATTATAGCTATCCTTCTTATTGCATTGAATCGTTATGGTGCTATCATCAGCAAAGAGTGTTACTGGTTGAATAACGGATTTAGGTAAGTCGTTTATGTATAACAAGAATAGTAGTGGGCCTAACACACTTCCTTGTGGTACTCCATATTTAACTACTCGTTCATGAGATTGAAATATTTCTTCATATTTAGTTTTTATATTTATTGAGGCTATTTCAGTGATTTGCTTTCTGTCGTATAAATATGATTGTATTAGTTTTAGCACATTACCACGAAATCCATAGGCCTCCAATTTAGCCAACAAAATATCGTGTCGGACATAATCGAATGCCTGGGTCATGTCACA